TTTGACGTCTGTGGACGAGGCTCGTCCCAGGCTGGCGCGCCCTTCTTTGGCGAAGGTGCGAAGCAAAATGGTAAGCAATCTCTGCGGCCCGATTTGATTCTTGTCACGTCGTACGACATAATGGCAACGAAGAACGTCACAATCATGAAGAAGGAGAAAGTGACTGTCAGAGCAGCGTAGATACAGAAATACCTGCAATGCAACAAAAATGTGATATGCATAAAGAGAGAGCAAATTGGTTCAAGATTAATGACTAAGCCTGATTAAAATTTGATCTTTCCTTGAAGGACTATAGAAGTGTACGAAATTAGTCGTGAACATCTGGGCATACTACTCTGGTTCGCTAAGCATAAAGGACAAAGAAGTTACCCAACGGCAAGGAAACCGTGAAATGCTTCCTATAACTGGCATCCAGCTGGTATGTTATCCTGATCGTAGTAGTGTCTAGATGTAACATTAAATTCTATCGATTTATTAGATGGCAGCAGATTTCGTACTGTAAACTTCGGCTTATCAAGAAACCACAAACTTTCTTGCAAAAATTCAGATAACTAATAAGAAATGAATTTGTGTTTTGATTGAAGATGATAAAATAATAGAAACAATCTAATAAACAATCAATTTAATTGTCTTACTTTATAGCCGGAAATGAGGTAGAGGTGCTAACTGCGAACGCCACCAAATCCGTCACGGTTGTCATGGTAACAGTTGCTCCCGAACGCTTCATAACTTCTTTAATCGTGTCAGTCTTTGACAGTTCCCGTGGCTGTCGATCAAGCTCATCCACCATGATAAACATGTCGTCGATGCCGATTCCCAGAACCAAGAACGGCAATACTCCCACAAAACTAACAAAGGGCACGCCAAACCACATGGCAAGACCAAACCCAGATGCAATCCCCAGGGCCACTGCAAACACTCCTGCATTAGCGAGCAATGAGTGACCGGTCAGCGGATTCAAGAATTTACCGAGCATGACGCTAGCAAAGACGATCATGAGGTTGAAAGTGACTGACACCAATGCAATATCAGACCCGCTGCTCTCAGCGATAGCATCATCAAGACTTCGTTCACTTGAGTAGTGAACTTCGAAACAGGAAAGTTTGTCTACCAACAAGGCCAGTTTGTCATTGAAATTCTTCTCCAAGTCGAGAACTTTTTTGTTCTCGTCGTCGTCACTGGGGTCGCGGATGGCATACACTATTTGCAATGCTTTCGCATCAGTTATGCTTCCATGTCTTCGATTGACATCACCAAACATGCGGTTGAAATTGTACCAGAAGGGACGTCCATTACGCATGAGGGCAATGATGTTGTACGCTTTGACTAGCTCGTGTTGAACCTGCTGGAGGTCTTTACCGTCTAACTTACTCTCATTGAACTGTACAAATTCCAGCGCGTTTATCATCACACATTCGTCTAGTGACTTGGATTTATTCCCAGTCAGCGTGACACAGAAGTCGGAATAAGATTCTAGTTCCATAACGGTGTTGTGAACTTCGAAGGCCTGCTTGAGACACTCAGGAGCAAGAACATTGGGATGACCAGGAGATGCTACTAAAACGATGTATTCTTCTCGAATCTTGACTCGGAAGAATTTTTCTGCGGTGTTTAAATCATCTATGGCCTTGCTACTTTGAGGGATGAATAATTTTTCAGTTCTGTTTTCTGTTTCGAACCAAGCAAATCCAACGCAGCAGACACCGACGAACGCAAGACACAGTTGGATTGTTACCAGTGGATGCTTGGCGATTCCTCTACCATACCAAGCGAAGAAGCGCTCCACAAGACGCAAATACCAGCTGCAGAACGACGACCAGAGAAGACATGGATTGAATTGTCGTGGACAGCAACAACTGTAATGGAGATGATTCTGATTAGTCTCTGAGCCCTACTGTGTTCAGTCCTGGGCACACACTGTGGGTTCGAGGTAGGCAGATAATTTTTCGCTGTGTTTAGGCAGCCGTGCGTCCGTTTTCACTGGACGCCAGCCTTGTCACACACACTATCCCGTGCTCGAACGTAAGACCAATCTATTTCCATTTCAGTAAGTCAAAAGAACAACGCAGCATTTTTCAATGTAGGGGAATATATTCACGGTGATTTTTAAAGGAGTCACATTTCGGTCAAGGGAAGAGTTGTAGGCAAAAACTTTACCCTGCACCCCCGTTTAGTCTGGTTAGCGATAAATATATGAAATAACTGAATCAGTATATCAAGGTGGTCAAGGAGTTATGCGTGACGCATGTTTAGAGTAAAAACAGAGCCCGTGGTGGTCGTGACAAGCGAGTTGAGACCCGCTTATTCTGAGAAGCGTGACCCGTAACTCCGTGAAAAGGTTCGTGAAAACAGAGATTATAACCGGCATTTTACGGTATAAAAAGATTGAGACGGTTCGACGTTTTGATGTCTTCGATGAACATAAGGAAATAAAAGTCAATAAAGTTGTGAAATTCAGAATAAGAGAGCATAAGCTTTTTTTTCTCAATAGAGCCATTCACGTGAACGTTTTCTTTTTGACAGAACCGGAGACACGAAGCCATCGGCACATCTCAGTTGTCTGTGTGCTCACGAAAGAAATTGCCCTGGTGCTAAGCTATTGAAACGTAAATGGTACTCAAATTCGTTAAAGCTTTCCGGGGATTTTATGCTATTTCTTTTAGTAAGTAACATTTTCATCCAGTTGTGTCTCTCAAAGAAACATTCGCTGATCTTGGTAGTATTCAGTTGAGGAAATTTATTATTTTTTTGCTTTAAATCACTTAGTGTTGATTTCTTTAAAACTATTTTCTACTAGTACTCTGTCCATTTTAAAGACAAAAATTCGGCTGCCACTCACTATAATTAAATCACGGTTTAAGCATGGTCACTCGGTTCGCTGTAGACATGAAAACCCGAAACGTGCTCGACTACAAATTTGAATAAATTTAAAAGTCGCTAAAGAAAACTGAAAATCTGATACCAGCAGAACACTTCACAGTTGCGACGAAAAAAACATCCGTTTTGACTGAACGACTCGCGTGATTAATATTACAATTCAACTCACGAGCTGCTTAGTAATTTCGGATGAAAACATGTCCATGTCGACCTCACGTGCAAGGTATTTTTTGCTTACTCTCCACACGTTTTCTTTCGACTTCCTTTTGGGATTCTGGATAGGAAGTCTTCAAGACCCTGCTCTCTCATGCAAATTTTTGCGAGCCACTCAAGAAACTGTCACTTGTTATTTAAGGATTACAGCAGCACGTTTCACAGTCGAACGAAAAAAACATCCGGTTTCGCTGAGCGATGATATGAATTATTTAAGAAAAGCCGCGCTATCACATAAATTTGCTTTTAAAATCAAATTCCAGGTTATTGTTCTAAGAAAAATTAACCAATCAGAATATGCCGACCTTTCAACATTTCGTGGGTTCAGGGGGTAGTAGAAAGAAAGCAATTTGTCGCACTGTAGTTAACACTCGACTGACATGGCGTCCGTGAATTTTCATACGGACATTTTCCTCTCCTAAATTCAAATACAACTTCGTCGTGTTCAAAATGGAAAGAAGCAACTCGAAAGAACACTCGACCTTCGAAAGTGTGATCACAAAGGTTTTAGAACAACTTTAAAACATCGTTCGCTTTTGTAATCGAATCGGATTTTCAAGACACGTCCGCGCACTTCAATTCAGCTTATTCAAACGAGGTATTAGAAACCATCACATAGCGGTGATAGTTATTCTGAATTTTGCACTTTGTAAGACAGTTTTAATCGACTAGTTGTTCCGTCTCATCAGAATTTTCAACGGGTGGGGAAAATGTAAGCTCAAGCTTAATACCAATTGTGACAATTATTAGCATAAAATTTCAGACTCGAACTATTTGACCGTCTTTGATTTGTTTCTGGCGCTAAAATTATTTTTGCACTGTATTTTAAAGTTTCAGTAATGCTTAGGAGAGAAAAAATTGCTGTAGCAGATGATAATGTTGAATTCGACTAAAGAACTGTAATCATTTCGAGTCAGCAAGCGCTAGCGAAACTATAAATATAAATATAATGAATAAAAGAATAAATTATATTTCTACGGTCCATTTCTACGCCATACTCTGCAGTAATTTTATCGGTTACATTCACAAATTTATTTCTCCAGTTTAAGGCGATTTGAATTTCTCAACAGAGGGGGAAATCCTCATCTGAACGAAAGCTGCCCAAAAACCGGGCGCTGTCCACGCTAAATTGTTATTCCTTTGCCATAGTAAAAGTTCCATTTATTTCTTCGTCGATGAGATTCTGAGCGAGTCTCGGCGGTTAAAAATTTACGATCTTCTAGGATTTAAATGTCGCACATCTCGCTATGGCTTCTGGCTTTTTTGTAGGATTAAAGATAGAGAAGTGGGCGTTGTTTTGGTGCGAATGTAGGGCCCTTCACATGAAATACAGTACAACATAGGATTAAAACTGACACCAACCTTGCTTCTTTTAAATCCTGTTTCTGTTCGGGAGTGGAGTTAGCCATGACAAACTGCAGCGTCCGACAAAAATTTGTTTCGACGATTGGCAAACGTACTCCTCAGTTGTCGGTTAAATAATATCTCGGATGATTTACATAATCGTTATATTGCTTTATTATTTATGTTGTTTTCGCTCTCACTGCCTTCAAACGTCACGTCCCAGCTGTCTGTAGCGCTTCAGACATCACGGGCGTCACGTACAGAACAAAAACATTACTGCGCATTCCACTTCCGCGTTTAGTAGCAGGCTTGCTTGTGCCTGGCTTACACTTCTCTACACGTGCAAGCAATGCAATACTTATTTGGGAAGCTTAGGCGATTAGAAATATCAGGATAAAATAATCATTATCCTATCTGCTTAGAAACTAAAAATCACAAAAAGCATTTTCGATTTTCTCATCCGCACAGGAAATATTTAGATCACGTTGTTTAACAGGTACCAGACTCCAAGAATTCGTTCATCTACGCAGTAAATTTGAGTGTTTTAAATTTGTTTTGTTTTAAAT